GGGGAAGCAAAATATGCAAGGGATAAAACAACGAAAGTAAAAAAAAAAAAACACAAAAAGAAAAAAAAACAAAAAGGAGAATGAAACAACAAGAGCAAAGGAAAGAGATGTGGAAAAAGGAAAAGAGGAGGAGGAAGAAGAAAATGAAAGGCCAAAAAGAAAAGGGTAAACAAAACAAAAAAGGCTAGAGAAACATATTTAGTGAAAGATCTAATGGCGAATGCTCAAATCTGAAAATCCAACCTTAGATTTGAGAAGGAGAGAAAAGATCTGGTTCAAGAGCTCAAGCTAGAACCAAAAGAGAAGAAAAAGACTAGTAACAACAACGAAAGGGGAGAAGAACAGAGGGGAGGACTTGAGGAGGAAAAAGAAAAACATAGAAAAGAAAAAAAAAAAGAGAAATAATTTTAGGGGAATTATTTATTTGTAGAGAATTTAGTGGAATTAATTTTAATGGAATTATTAATGAAATAAACTTTATAGAGAGAGACAGAGGTTATTAGTAAAGAGAGAGATAGATAGGTTAATAGAGAGAGAGACGCTAAGGTTGGGAGGGGAGAGAGAGAGATGCGGCGGGGGAGAGAGAGATATTAGGAAGGGTTGTGGTCAATTAAACTAAAAAAAAGAAGGGCTGTGGTCAGTTTCACTCGCGTGGCATTATTTCACTGGTGAAACATTATAGGAAGCGAGACCTATTATCCCACATGGCAGAGGCAAAGGAGGGACAACTTGAATAAAAGTCTTGCACTCCATTATTGTACATATTCCTCGTTTAACACATGCTTTTAAGTTACGTGTGCGTACTTGAGATTAATGTTTAAAAATTCCGTGCTTAGATATGGAATCGAACAATCTGGATTCGATATCGTTTAGACCATCTCAGATCCGCTCATAAAATGGGATCCAGCCTGTGCTATAGTAAACTGTGAGAGTGACATCATGGCTACGTCACTTCAGTGCCACGATTCGGAATCGGGCGATCTGGATTGGATATAATCTAGACGATCTCGGATTTTTTCATAAAGCCACATCACTGATTTTAATAGTTTTTTTAGAAAATCCTGTAAATATAAATTTTTCTCTAAAAAATTTTGGTAATCCACCACAACCTCTCACCCATGTGCACTCACACCGGCTGTATATCAAGTAAACACGCTGTTAACCTTTACCACTAGACGTCAATGCCAAGTGGGGAGAATGAATTCAATTTATATTGCTTTGCGCTCCTACACTTTGTCGATGTGGGACAATGTAGTTTTGGGAGCCATGAATTTAGATTTGCCAAGCACTTATAAAAGAGCGTCCAATATATTTTATGGTGCCATGAATTTATAGGGCGTATTTTTAAAACGTTCTTATTGATGCATATTCAATAATATTTTAAAACCTTACTTATATTCATCAATAGAATCTCTTTATATTAATATCACATCGAAGTATCAAACATTTATTAATTTAGTGTCACATCTAAATGTTTGATTCCTGATCCGGATCACATGATGCCGTATACATTATTTATTAATATATTTATATTATAAATTATAGTGTAGTAATTTATGCTATAGTTGTAAACTAGAATTTTAAATTTGATGATATTATAAATTTTAAATTTATTCTTATTTGTATAGTAAAATGATTATAAAATATAAACCAATAATTTCAATTTTAATGTATAATATTATAGTTAGTTAGGTTGTGATAATTTTGGACAAATAAAGAGAATTAATAAATATTTGATGTGAAATTATTGTGTTTTATTTTATAATATAGAAGTATTTTTAATATTTTAAAAATATTTTGATGTAATATTATAATATTATATTATAATTAATAATTATACAGACATCCAGACATGAAAACAACATCTCAATACTCACTTATTGTTACAAAGTAATGAAAGTACATAATGTACCACTCTTAATTTTTTTTAAAAACTAAAAAAATATTATTTTTAAAGATTTATAATGATTTTTTGAAAAATGTTGAGACAAAAATTATCGATTCGACCGATTTTTTGAACCGATCTATCAATTTGCCACGAGTATGTTGTGGCCTATTTAGGTCACCCATCCACTTTTTTTTAAACACTGCTCAAGAGATGTTGACTACTACGGGTTTGTTAATAAGATTATGAAAAACGAATGGTTGGGCCACCGCCCTTCAAGTTCAAGAAAATTAAATAATGCATAACCGATAAGGCGGAATTTTCAAACTCCGAACCAAACCATATGGTTCCCCTAAAAATTCCCTACCCGTACGTCAAAATTTTCCTCCAAAAATTGATGCGACGGAAGGCTGCTTATCAGCCAGGTTTCAACAGAGAGCAATCCCTTCAAGGTTAATATGCACCGTCGGAGCCCCACTGACGCTTACATCCAGACGATGAAAATTTGATGCCATGCGAATACGGCGCAGAGACATTGTGACATGATTAAAATGTGACACAAAGGAGGAATTGCTCTCTAATTTTGAATCAAGCCTCCATGTGTAATTGCCTTTATTATCATCAATATGCCTCTGTCCCTTGCAAATTCGAAAAGTTATGGCTAAGAGAAAAAAACCGGGTGGGGCATAGCTAAGAGATAAAGAAAGGGGCAGTGCAAAAACATAACCAAACCATGAGAGAGAGGGCCCAATTTATTTATTTATTTATTTTTTATTTTATACAATGGAGAAAAGAAACCCCACCCGATTTTTATTATAGTTTAGAAGTTAATTTTTTTTAAAATATTAATAAAATAGCATATGTAAAAATGAAAACCGCAATATAATGACTAAAATGTCGGGTGCTACCTCCACAACCCCGATCGCTTTCCTACCATCTTTGTAGTCGAGACAAGGAAATAGGGTGTCATCCCAGCTACGCACTATCCACCGTTTCTAAATAAAGTGATTTAGTCATAATGACAAGGAATTAGGGTCACTCTAGGAAGTAAAAATAAACAAGGACATTTATAAAGGAAAAGATCCTTATCCGGTGTCAATTTTATATTATTAATGATGCACCTCAAGAATCCTCCATAAGAGGTGTCCTAGTTGAAAAAATTTTAAATTGATCATTTTAAGTTTAAGTTATATAGATAAATACAAAAAAAAACAAGTCAAGTCATACAGGTAATACAAATTGCAATAAATTATTCATACCATTTATTTTTAAAAGTTTAAAATATTTATAAATTTACACAATCTCTATTATTTTAAAAAATGTTACGTTATTATACTCACACGAGAGGGCATTTTATAATTGTACCCAACAAATTTTGGACATTATATAACCTTGTTTTGTACATGAAGTATTTTTTAATAAAGGTATTTTTTGTCATTAGAAGATGTATGATATTATCCATATAGGGTGTGACATCACTTATATGGAGCACACTTGTGAGTATCATACCTAGAGGTGGCAATGGATCGGGTCTGGCCGGACCCAGACTCAGACCCAGACCTGAATGCATTTGGGTCCAAGTTTTGGACCTAGATCGACCTATCGGGTCTAAAAATTGGACCCATACCCATCGGTTCTTGGGTCTATCCCGTCAGGTCTTGGGTCTGGTCGGGTCCATTGCCATCTTCACTATGAGCTTCCTTTTTTGTAGCCCACAATGGTTAACAATAGAGAACTAAATTTTGAGATGTGGACAATTAGAGAGAAGAGAGACATTTGAGATCTAGAGACAAAGCTATGTCTCCAAGAAATTGAGAGAGGGAGAATGGCAATGGGGTTTCACTGTTTGGAGAACTAGGGAAGGACGAAAAATATTGAAATGATTTTTGGGTAAACTAAAAATTTGGGCATCGGTACCGACCTGGTTGGGTATAGCAGAACCTGTACCCAAACTCGAGATTATCCTGATATCCTTTATTGGACCCAGACCCTACCTGTGGGTCCAAAACTTGGACCCATACCCGGATCCATGTTGGGTATACCCCGCGCATATGGATCGGGTGGGTCCGGATCCATTACCACCCCTAGTCACACCTCTCCTAATTACCAAATCCAAAAATTAAATAATTACTTATAAGTAAATGGACTCCACATTTTCTATCTTCTAACCCCCTAAACCTTTTTTACCATGTATTATTGACCTCAACAATTTATAAAATTACTCTATCTCTCTCTCTAAAACTCAATCTATTTCCCATATCTTTGTCTCTACCTCTCAAAACTCTATCTTTCTCTAAAACCCAAACTCCATCTCTCTTACATCATCGTCTCTCTCTTTGAAAATTCCATCTCTTTTTAAAATTCAAACTCTATCTCTTTCTCTCTCTAAAACTTCATCATCTCTCCAAAACCCAAATTTCATCTATTTTTCTCTGTAAAACACCATCTCTCTCACACATATGAAGGTGTGCTCGTGTTCAAGCTCAAGTTAAACCCCTTGACCGATAAACTCATCGAAAAGTGAAGAGAGAGATGGAGTTTTAGAGAGAGAGGTAGAATTTGAATAGAGTGTCATTCTAATATTTGTTTGGGTAAAAAATTTACGATAAAAAGAGTCCAGAGGGGTTGTAACATAAAAAAGATAATGCCTTTTGCTTACAAGTAATATTTTCAATTCATGAATCTCATGAGATATAGAAGTTAAAAATAAAAAATAAAGAGACATTTTTTAAAAAAGATATTAAATTACAAAACAATGATATATAAATATCAAAAATTTGTTAGGGACATTTATAAAATATACTGTGAACCACTAACATAATCTTTTTAAAACTTTTCAATTTTATAATAACTTTTTTTTTTAATTTCATAATAAAGATAAAAATAATTCGTCGAGTGGATGCAAAATTTGTTGGATGAGGCAAAATTTAAAGGCATGTGACGTCCACCAGTCCCCTTGTGTAAACGACACCAAAGCATGGCATTTTATCTGTTGGCGTCCGACGGGAAGGGCGAGAGGAGGAGAGGAGCGCTTTGGTAATTGGTGGAAAGGTTGAGAGTTTGACCGCTACTGCGCTGCCCTTACCTTTGCACAACGATGTCTCCTGCTTTTTCTTTTTTAATATTCAGAAAGCCACTGCCCTGGCTACAACCCTTGCTTTTACTGTCCCTTTCCACTTCCGCTATTGATTTTCTCTGGAGCTTTCCTTACTGCACCACCATTTCTTTTCTCTCAAACCTTTCCCCTCTTCAAAAGACCTCCTTTAATCGGCTCCTAGGCCACCATGAGCGCCTGGTTCAGAAAGCTCGAACACTTCTCTCAGTCGCCTTTTGACTGCTATTCTCCCTCTTCGTCTCTTTCTCTCAGCCAAAACCTTCTTTGCAAGTCCAAGCCATGCTTCAGTCCATTCTTTGCTGAAGAGGAGATGGGTTTATCCCTGGACCTCTTCAACCCCTTCCCTTCATCCTCTCTCTCTATCGAGTTTCTCAATCCTTCTATGTATTCCGGGTTTGAGAGCGTTACGGATTTGCTCGAGATCCGGAGATCGATCTTTGATGGTGTCTCTGTGAGAAGGTTTCAGAGGATCGATTATTTGCAGAGCTTGAGCGACCGGATCTCTGCACTGGAGTTAGGATTTGGCGAGCTCTGCAACGCGGACCGGAAGTATGAATGGACGGCTGAGATCAAAGGGAGAGGCAGCCCTAGGCATGAGGAGATCGATAGGAAGTACAAATTGACGGCTGAGATCAAAGGAAATGGAAAACCTCGGCAAGAGACTGACCGGAAGTACAAATGGACGGCTGAGATCAAAGGGGCGCGTAAGGAAGCAGGGGGTCCTCATGGCAAGGAGAAGGCGGGCCATGACAGGAAGTACAAATGGATGGCTGAGATCAAAGGCGGCAGTGGATCTGCTGATGCGTCGCACATCTACACCTTTAAGTCGACCACGAAGCCATTGGAGAAGAGCGGAGCTAAGCATGAGAAGCGGGTGGAGAAATGTGGTGGCGCACGGGTGGTGGCGGTCGAAGATGGCGGAAGCGATCAGAATGCTATTGCTCTCAGAGAGGTCATTTTCCTTTAAATGGCTAGAGCATGACTCACAACCACTAATTTGCTGGAAATACATCTATTTAATCTTAGATTCATTGTAATGACTCTGCATTGCTTGCTTTATTTCCTGAAAGATGTTACATGGTTTTCTTTCGAAATGTGAACAGAAGATTTTGGCGAGGAGAAGAGAAGCAGCAGCAGCAAAGGCGAAGGCGAAGGGAAAGAGAAAGGAGCTGTCGGCAGTGGAAGCGGCTGTGATAATACAGTCTAGTTTTAGGGCACATCTGGTGCGTCGATCTCGATCCCTCCACAGCCTGAGGGCGCTGGCCGTGGCCAAAGCAAAGCTGAAGGAGATAAGGTCCCTATTCCTCAACTTCAGCTACCGCCGCCGCCTTGCTTCCGATCCTGAGGAACGGCAGAGGTTCTCTGAGAAGATCATCGTCCTCCTCCTTACTGTGGATGCCATTGAGGTATGATTCACTAAAATATCAATCCCCATTTACCCCTTCTCTTCCCCCTTATCTCTTGTATGCTCTCGGTGAAGTGGATATGGGGATGAGTGACATCATTGTTTCAAAATTCGGCCGCCTTAGTGCCTAGGCGATCTGTGGGTGGGTAGAGCCGCCTTGGTGTTTCTTCGTCTTCTCTCGGAAATTGTCTGTTTTGTCATATTAAATGTAAATAAATGGCAGATAATTGAATTGAAGTATGAATAATGGCTTAGCTGCTTTTTGAAATGGTGGGTTCTGAAATTGGATGGTGGACAGGGGTGGGATCCCATGGTTAGGGAGGCAAGGAGATCGATGGTTGAGGAGCTAGAGGCAATGCTGGATGTGGTGGACCCTCAGCCACAGGCTTTGGGCAAGCTCAGGCGCAGGAAGTTCGATCTTCCAGCATGCGGACCCATCCAAAAGGAGATGGCTCTGGGCATCGCCGAGGTCGTTGAGATGCTCGACTCCGACCCCGCCGCCGTCCATGATATTACCCTGTGAGGGTTGTATGGCTGCTAACTCGGCTGGTAGGTCCCTGATGTTAACCTGTGAGAGTAGTATCAGTGTTAGCTGCTGTTTTGCTTCATCCCTTTCTCTTTCTGATCTCTTTGTGTTATGTTGTTTGTTTTAGAACTTGTGTCCCCTCATCTTTTGCCCATTTACAAACACTGCTCTTATATGGGAATTAAGAAGTTTGAGTGTGGTATTTGACGAGACTGAAGTGGTTTTTTATTTCACAAAAACTGGTAGACAAGATAAGGCCTAGAAATTGGAAAGTGAAGAATTATATCTACCAAATTTTGGGTTCCCAAAATGCATTTAAGATCTTTTTTTTCGGGGGCTTTTGTTAGTGACTTCCTTTATGCATTAGAAGAAATCCTAGGCTTCATATAAATAATCAATATGTGATTTGATTAATTATTATGTGATTGGATTAATTATTTATTGTGTTTGAAATATTCTAATGGAAATTGGCAGCAATTTGTTAAGAGAGTATAGAATGAGATCGTATACTTTTGATACAAGGTGGTCACATTAATCTTGACTATTGGATGTGAAATTGGGTTGCTGCAATTATGCTATTAACCTAACTCAAACTTCAAAAATTTTTTTTGTCGAACTTTATGATACATCCAAGTTATCAAATTTCACATCAAATGATTGTAAGAAATTGTCATCACCTTGTATCAATACTAAATGGTCCGTGTACAATCCCAAATTTAATGGATGCAGTTTCTATAAAGAAAATTGTTTCATGCAGGCTGGACCGCATTTCTACATTATGTGGTCGAGAGATATAAAGTATGATGGATGCAAATAGGTGGTCCATTTTAAAACAAGTGTAACTAGCGGTCTAAATATTTTTTATAATTATGATTTTTAGTTTTCAATTTCTTTTTTCATATTCATATCTCCATGTTAAAGATTATATATTTTTTAAAAATTAGGATCAAATTATATTTAAAAATATATTTATTGCCAAGCCCGCATTTCAACAATATGCGGGTCAAATGCGGGCCAGCTGCATAGAAACTGTGTCCTTTCTATAAAGGCCTTGGTTTTTTGAAAGCCTTGCATCAAATCCTGATCCAGAAAGCATATTTATTGGTCATAGAAAATATCCTTGATGGCTCTAAAATAAATTTTTAACATGGACTATGAGATTTGAAGCTAAACAATGGTACAGATATGTAAACACTTATTTTTAGTAAAAAATGGACAATTTAGATAGCGTGCTGTGATATACACTGCTTTTGGAGTTTAAAATCCTTTTTTTTTTTTTTTTCTATCACCATATTGGACAAAAACGAAGATTGATCAATTTGAATGTTTTTTTTGACACCAAAACTATAATTTTCCATGAGTTTTGAGGTGAGGCTTTTTATCAGCCCTACCATTTTCTTTTGTTAATATGCGAAAACCGAGTAGTTCCAAAAGGGGTTCTATATATAGTCTTGACAATAGGACAACGCAGTTTGATATATTCATGAATCACGAAAAACTTTTTGTTTTTATTTTTTGTTCTTTTCACAATTATATGGCCGCTGACATACATGTTCGCTACCCTAACATGTGCACATGGCCTTCCGACGATTTGTCAGTGGCGGTAGGAACCAATTAAATCATCAAAATTCTGTAAAATATTGTGGATTTTAGAGTCAATTGCGTGGTTAAAACATGTATATGATAAATATCGGACTTTTTAAGTTTTTTAACACTTTGATCTCGCCCTTTAAAAATTGGATAGTTCATAGATTTTTTTTTTTTTAAAAAAAAAAAATTCTCTGGTTAGTCTATGGGTTTGAGATTATGTATCCAAAATTTGGAGTCCTATAATAACTCGTACATTGGGTACATGGACAGTAGACTCTAGGAGTATAAAATCTTTTGGTAAAATTCCATTTTCAAATTGTTGCAATAATGATAGCTACAAATCCATTTCATGGAGCATAAGGGACTGATCATGGCCTTGTAATCCTTCAAGGAGGCTTATGGGTGAGGAAATATTACGGAATGACAATTTTTTTGGACGATAATGTGGTCAATGAATAACATCCGAGAGAGAAGGGTGTGGTTTGTATAAGGCCGAAGCTCTAAACAATCAAAATAGAGTATATTTTTAAATAGTATCAAAATATGTTGTTTAATATTAAAAGTTTGTGTAATGATCCTATGAGATCCTTCCGCATTTCTACATCCATGTGTATAGGAGTTCAAATGATCACTATCAAATATAGTATAGATTTTTAAAAAATCAAATTTCACACTCTTGTGATAACGTTTTTAGAGATCTGTGTTATATTTAATAGTTATCTTTTGAGGTTCTACACACATGGGTGTGGGAGGGTTTTATAAGATCACTATTTCAAAAAAGTTTTTAAGATGATTTGAAAATTTATTTTTATCACTAATAAAAAAAAAATTTGTAAGATGATCTAAAAATTTATTTTTATCACTAAGAAATAAATTTAAAATTGAAAGACAGAATAGATCAAGTAGATCTATAAACACTTGAAAATTTTAAAAATTGAAGGTCTAGATAATATTTTACAAATTTTGTTTTTTTTCTGATGTCCATATATATTGAAGTTGAGTTAATCGGATTGAGGGTTTTTTAACCTTGAACCAACCTTTTTTAATGTATTTTTGATGTGTGCCTTAATTTGATTGTATGGAGCCTCGCACTTATATAAACTGTTTCCGAGAGGGAGCAGATGGATGGCATTAAACATGTGGCCAATGCATTTTGTTTGGTGGTGGCATTGAATGTGCACTTAATGCGTGAGGGCTCAATTCATAGACATAAATACCACCTACTCTCTCTGATCCCCTTGAGTTTATTAGCAATAAGTCTTTCAAGCTGAAGGCAATGTCATGTCAGACGTTTTTATCAGTCCTACAAAGGGTTTAACTGATGGATACGGTTTGATGAGTCAGCCGACCAATATGTAGAAATGCGCCCCTCTCTATGATTTATTTTTTAGGTGGATTTTGATCAAGTACAAGTATGTAAAACAAATAAATTTTAAAATTTTAAACTATGGTTTTTAAAAAATAAATTTAAATCATCAATTTTAATTTTATGTAGGACCAGCGGCTTTTTTACGTGCGTCCTTAAGATGGATGTGTGACCCCTCACGGTGTAGATGCAAAAATTTGTCCTCTAAGGCACAAAGCACTTTTCTTTGAGTGATTTTTTTTTTCTTTTTGAAAGAAGGTTAACTGCACTTTTTCTTAATAGACGCATACCCTATATTTTTTTATAGGGTTTTGTTAGGCTGCACGATTGGATTAGATTTTTAGAGTGTTCAACATTTTTAAACATTTAGATACCCGACTTTTAGAGTGCTCAACAGTTTTAGACATTTAGATACCCTTATCATAGTATAATAACTTTGTGTTTAGGGTATTTAAGTAATTAGTCAAGAGTAAACTAGAAATTCTTAATAGAAACAAAAACATTTAGTAACAATAGTGGATGATGACATCACCGATATAGTAGGTGACATCACCTACAAGATACATTAATTGTTTTTAACTACTAATAGAGTGCCATTATTTTTTTTATAAATATATCCATTCTACCTTTCTAAATGATTAAAAATACCCTTACTTTAAAAATTTTGTATTACAATTCAAAAGTATTTTAAAGTAAAAAAATGTTGAGTACGTTAAGGGTCTTCTACACTACTAAGTGATATAACCTAAAAAAACCATTTTTATAAAGCATAGGTTTTTTGAAATCAAAGTAATGCCTCACCTTGTATCTTCGTACAGAAAGCACTCTAGGCATTAGAAATCTCCATGATGGCTCTAACATTAATTTCTAATACCGACTATGAATTTGAAACTCGAAAGAATGGTACATATTTTATAGATATGTGAACACTTTTTTTAGAGTGAAATGGAAGGTCTGGATAATTTGTTACAATAGATACTATTTTTAGAGCTTTAAATCCTTTTTTTTTTTTCACAACTATAATAGTCAAAGCCAAGATGATTGATTTGAAAATTTTTTGATGTAAGAATTACAATTAGCTGAAAATTTTGAGGTCAGGCTTTACTTAGTTTGATAGGGTTGTAACACTATCAAACCATTTTCCTTTATTAAAATACTTGTAAGAGATGAACTATTCAATATTTTAATCATTTTCCACCATTTTAACTCATGATCTGTGTCTCTTAATAGGTATTTTGAACCGAAAAAGTATACAAAGAGACCATTTATTTTAGTAGAACTTTGGGACTAATCAATGCCACACTTACAATCACCCGATTTCAAAATGAAATCTAAAATGAAATAAAAAGATATAAGTACAAAAATAAATAGTTGATCTCTCCATAGCACAAGATAAATTTTCTTCATTTCATCAATAGAATGTTTATTATAGGGTGTGGTTTCTATATGGTTGCAATCTAAACAATTCAATTAAGGCGCACCTCCAAATTTTATCATAACATGTAATTTTGGTGTAAAAATATTTGAACAATATCTCAAAATCTATTTTCATATCTAATTATAAAATTTTAGCTTAAAAAATGGTTAAAATCAAGTTGATCTATAAACATATGAAAATCTTGAAATTGGACGGCCTAGATAAAGTGTTGCAAGTGCACTATTTTTGGTACTCAAAATTTTTTTTTTTTTCATATTCATGCATCTCGATGTGAAGATGATCAGTTAGAGGGTTTGTCAACATTAAAACAAGGGAAATTATTATAAATATACCTTAATTTTTGTCTTGCCCATACTTTTTTTTTTAATTTTGAGTTTTTTTTACCAAAATAACATTCACGGTAGTCGTATTACTGTGAAGCCAATTACGGTACTTTAATTACCGTAGAAACGAATCCATGTTATACGACATTTTAAGTACTGTAAAAACTAATCCATATTATACGGCATTTTAAGTACTGTAAAAACTAACCCATGTTATTCAACATTTTAAGTATCATAAAAAACTAACCCATGTTATACCGCACTCAAAATTCCGTAAACCTTTTTCTCTTGTTCATATTTATCTCTTTTGTCTCTCTTAAATTTTATGTTTATGTTTATCTCTATTTTGTCTCTCTAATTATTTTTAATATTTATTTCTTTTTTCTCTATCTAAATCTTTTTTTTCACTAACTTTCTTTTTCTCTACTTACTTCATCAACTCAACAAACACGATTCCAGCAATATACAAATCTGACTCCATCTAATTTTCATAGGGGATAGGGTTGAAGAGAGTTT